TCTCTCTCTCTCTCTCTCTCTCTCTCTCTCTCTCTCTCTCTCTCTCTCTCTCTCTCTCCCCCCCTCTCTCGCAAATAAAGGGTAATTTTCGTTGATATAATTTGCACATTTGAATGTACATGACATATATGTATCTACGTGACAAATTGACAATTTTATACCCATAAAACATTTTAAATTTGAAATTTACTTCATGACATAAGTTACGTGAGGACATTCTATGCAGTTAAAAAAAGTGAAGGTTTCGATAGTTTGTAAACACTAATCTTTTAACGAGCAAAATTGTCAAAAAATTACGTTACCGGGCTTCTTTCTCAAAGTTTCTTCTACGTAAAACAAACAATAGTAAATCGTCTCTTTACAATAAACTAAACGAACTATTTCAAAAGACATAGAGACGCAATTTCGATATAATTGGCAGATATTTTACGGGAGATTGTCTCTATACTTTATCCCCACTTTGATCGTTATATTTTAATTTGACAATAAAAGATATAAAACGATAGCACACAAAGGACGTTTGCTGTATGAAGAAATATAAAGTTTATTTTCTTTGAACACATAAAACGTGCAATTCAATGAGAAAGATGGAGCTAATTGGAATTACATCTTTTGGTAGAGAAAATCTAACGATTGTAAAATATTGTTGTTAGATATCATCATAGTTTACATATGTACATATCTAATAAATACAATATTTACATGTATATACATTATGTGTTATGTTATGTACATATCTAATAAATACGGTACTTACATGTATATACATTATGTATTTGTTCACCAAAAACAAGATGTTAAATTGTTCTCCTTTTTGAAAAAGTGAATAGAAATCTTTACAAAACGTCGGAAACAAATTCATAGAAAATATGGCATCAAACCAGAAGCCAAACCGAGAATACGTCTATTAAAAAAAAAAAAAATATATATATATATATATATATATATATATATACAGGATATTTCAGTAAAGATAAACAATCTCAGGACCGTATAGATTAGGTGAAAATAACCCTATAAGTTCATATGAATTGTTTTCCTATAGTACACCCTTGTGTGCGTTGTGCTGAGATATTCACCTCCAAAACTAAAATTCAAAAAGCATTTTCTAAAAGTAACTTTTATATTGATTATTAGATTTAGCTTTATGTTGCTAAATAAATATCGTTAGAATATTTTTATATATTTTTTGATATTACATCAAAGAGCTAAGAAATACTTATAGATTTTTTTAATTCCTAAACTTTGAGGTGAGTAGGATTTTTAATTTCTGAACATGTTTTTAAATTCCTCAAACTTTATAAAGAAAAAAGGTATTTTTGTTTGATTTCGTAAAAACAATTGATTTTCGAGAAAAACGCATTTGGACGATGAAAGATAAAATTTTATTCAAATAATAAGATGATTTCGCATAAAACAAAATTAAACTAATTAAGTTAAATTTAATTAAAGAAAAATAGATTTGTGCAAAATCACAACAAATGTTCGATATAAGAACAGTTATATCCGTCACAATATTCTGAGATGCCTTTTTATTTAGTCCTCAGTTCGTCGTACACAAGAATGCGTTAGAATAGGAAGTGCTCATATTAAGCATTATGTATGACAAATGTATTTTTTTCAATTTAATTTAACTTGATTCAATTCTGTCTCGTGCGAAATCATTATTTCATTATTTCAATAAAATTTTACCTTTTACGATTCAAATGTGTTTTTCTCGAAAACCATTCGCTTTTTCGAAATTAAAAAAAAATGTTTTTTTTTAGAAAAACTCTACTTGTCGCACGATCTTCGAAGTCAAGCAACAGTCGAGCGACGACACAAGATGTATTTAGAAGGAAATGATAACCGATCATCGCTCAAGCTCAAAACCATTGTGAGAGACATAAACGTATGAAATAGGACACAAGCCTACGGTTGTTTATATTTTTTTACCGAAAATTAGTTTTTTAGACCATTTCAATTGAAATCACACATACACACATTTTAAAACATTATTAAATTTTACTAAATTTATTTTCCAATTAAATAGAAATTATTAAAGAAATCTAAAGAAATATTTTTCTCTATGCATACTAAACGCTTTCAGCAAGTTTTTCTTTAAATCTTCATATAGAGGAAACAGCAATAAATTCTTAAACGTATTGCATAATAAAATCTTAAACGTATTGCATAATAAGTCCAAAATAAGTCGAAAATAAGTTTGAGAATAGTCTTATTTGCATATTTTCAAATTTTTTGGATATTTTATGGATATCTAAAGTTGATCGTATGGTATTTTATGGATGGATGAAATATGGATGTCAAACGTCTTATGGACTCTTATCAAACAAAAAACGAATCTGTTTTGGACCGAAAATGGACATTCGATGTTTAAAAATAGACGTCCCATGGAGATATAATGAACGTTTATGTGCTATTTGGGTATATTTTAAAAAATATATATATGTGTGTGTATGTATATGTGTGTGTATATGTCGTAGCAGCCGTTAGAATTTAATTTCAGTGACTTTATTTCTTAAACACGTTTCCAATTTTAGTCTTTACTATTCATATTACTTATAATTTTAGCATATGACACAATTATATGACATATTTATATCTAACAAATATGCTTAAAAAGAAAGTTGATCCTAAGTGATCTTAAAGTTAACGTTAGAAACATAAAATAATTACAATTATAATTGCGATCTTTGATCGTATACGTGAATTTCCTTATAGATTGTAAAAACGAAAAGCCAAAATGGGATTATTTCACGAAAAACACAATGTAGTATTATATTTCTTATGTTTAAAAGAGAGAAAAAGAGCAACACATATGCCAGATTTTTGTATGCGTGCTATTCAAACAGAATTTTAACGCGTTTTTCTAATTTAAGTATATAGTAAGTTTTAAGAAGAAAACAGTCATAGAATAATATAGGAAGATAGAATTTATTAAAGAGTATAACACCTCCCTCTTCCTCCATTACACAGTTTCTACATTTACCAATAGAAAGTTTTTATTACGTTATTAACCATTCCAGTCTCTCAGCAATGACTTTATATCATTAACAACGAAATCCTATATGCTGTTTAGCATGAATGAAATTTTCGCATGAAATTTTCAATACGAATCGCGGGGCATATTAAAAGGGCAATATAATTAATCGAAGAACGGGACACAGTAATGTAATTAATTAAAATTAACCGACCATTTGTAGCACCAGCGAGTAATTGGCCATGCCCGTATTGTATCGTGTAATTCAAACAATTCGACCAAATAAATCAAACGTTTAATATCGCACAGCGGAACGATAATGCACGTATTTTGTAATCTTTGATATCATTAAAAACACGACAGTCGGTTACTTACACGAGTCGATGGCATAACGAAATCTAGATGAGAATAAGAGTACGAGAGAGGGAGAGGGAGAGGAAGCAAAGGAGGAAGGGGAAAGAGGGAAGAGAGAGAGAGAGAAAGAGACGGTCTCTCGTTAATTTGTAATTCGAGACGGACGCGACTTGTTATACGTCATTTGCGTGTCGATAAAGCACCGTGACTACTTCGGATCGCGCCTAACTCGCGCGCGCACGCCCTATTTCCGTTTAGTACAGAAGTAACTTTCGGTAAGCTTTAGACGAACTTTAATGAAAGGTTGATTTAAGGGTCGATTCCACCGAGGTGTCAGTCAATATTTGCTGAGGCCTACTAATTTCTCTGTCGTTATTTATATTATAGTTGATATTAAATCACTACGCGACGCGACTTTGCTCTTCGGCGGTCACTGGCTTAACAGAAGGAAACGTAATCGAGAGACCGCTATGTCTCATAAAATGCTTGATCTCGTAGAATGAATTTCTTAATTATTCACTGTAACTCAATCTTGCATATCAATCGAAGTATTATCTAATTGCTTGTGCAATTAGAACAAAGTTAACCATTCAACGCTTAAAATATTTACAATTAAAATTGATGCATTTAACACGCATCTTTTCATAACGTATTGATATTAATGTCCTATTTTTAATTTCATTTTTTAAAATGCACTTGGGATTTTAATAAATAATCTACTCTATAATATTAATCTCGTCTTTTTTTAAACAAAAAATTTATTTATTAAAAAATACGGTGCTAAAAAATGAGGTGCCAGCTTCACACACAAAAATGTAATACTCTTGCCGTTATGTTGAAAAATAGATATTTAATACATCAATGAAAGATTGTTCTCAAGTTTTATATTTCATGACCGCATGGATTTTTTCTTTCTAATAATTAGTGCAATATGTCCAATAAAGTAATTACTATTTAATGGGTTAGGTTCGGAATTAGTTTTTTTGGGAGGGGCGGAGCCTCTCTCCCGCGCATATAGGCATGTACTGTTTATCATATTTTCATATAAACTATGTGCAAAAATTACGTTCCGTTTATAAAAAAAGAATTTTAATAACTTTTTAACAAATAGAGACTACCATTTAAAATTTTTTTTAATATTACTCAGGGACATGTTCTTGACAATGTTAATTAAGGTTAAGATCATTGGCGAGGTGTCTCCTAATGTAAAGCTTGAGAGCAATCTTTTCACTGATGTATTAAATATATATTTCAATATAACAGTCAAAGTATTGCATTTATGTTAATAATGCATATGACTTTTCTTGTAGAGCGTTTCAGAAGTTTAATTTTTTGTCTGAGACATTTTTCCCCAAAATCAATATTTTCAAAGATATAGTAAGAAAACAGTGTAAATTTTGAGCAAAGGTAAGGGATGAATAGGGTTTTGTCGCCAAAAATATTCAAGGCCTTCAATTTTGGAGCTAAAGAGAAGCTTTTCTGAAAAATTCAGCTCAATCGGAGGTTAGTGTTTTTTGGAACTTTATCCTAAATTAAAAGAAAATACTACGTTAGTTAAATATATTAAAATAAAATGAAAAATTATAAAGATATACAATATACAAAGAAAAACATATTTACTTATCTGCGTAAAAAATATTAAGCCTAACAAAAACATAAACTTAACCAAAAAAGTTGCTATAAAAACTATATAAAAAGACTTATCAAAATTTTATTAAAAAACTAATATACTATATATTATCAGAAAGAAGATCGCTTAAAATCGTCAAGTAATTGATTTGTCGTTTCTCTCTTCAAGTAAAATTTGATAAGAATCTAATAAAATTTCTAATAAAATAATGATAATAACTCTAATAAAATAATGATAATAACTCTACGCTGAAATATCCAGGCAAGGAAATGAGGAAAAATTAACCGAGTTTCAAACATCGCTTACTGTGTAGTGTAGCGTTAACTCCGAACAGGTAATGCAAAACGTATATTTTCCTGTCAACTGTACGCAGCTCCCCTTCTTCTACCACATTTTCTCTTCGATACCATACTTAACCTTAAAATCTCATAAAGAAAGTAAGAAACCACTAAGAATGTTTTATGACACTATACGCAATTAGTTGCACCTTCGAAGAAATTATCGACTTATCGAATTATCGAAATTATCATTACTCTTATCATTTCAAGCTTTCCGTTCGCACCTGAAAGCATCACGCTGCTCGTTGAGAATTCACACTACTTAAAGAATTCACACAAATATTAAGACTTAGCGTGTCCAGATTGTATTAAAAGCGACATTCAACATTGTATTATAATTTGTGTCCTTGTATTTAATAAAATTAGGTTTCTATATCATCTCTAATGTGTTAACTTTATAACATTCATAACAATTTCTTACATATTTAATACAGCTCAATATTACACATTTAAACAAACAAATGTTTAAATGTATATTTAACATACTACGTAATAAAATGTATATTTAACATACTAACGTACATAGTATATATGTACAGATACGAATAATAATAAAATAATCGTGATTATACATATGCTTTTGAAAACGTGTACTTATTTGCCAATTTGAATACGTCTATATATTCTTAAACAGAAATAAGGTTCATTGGCCCTTTCTGTCAATCATACAAGTTAAAGAAAACAATCAGCAGTGACATCACATGCGTGTATATTCGTATCTTGACACTTTTAATAACTTTGCTTTTTTTTCTTTTTATCCCAAAATTTCTAAGGCTTCATAAGTATTTAAAAAAGTTAGTATAACAAAGGCATTTGAGACAGTAGTGACAAAATTCGTCAGTTAATATCTGAATAGCAGCTGGAGCATGCGTGTATATCCTTTCTTCTTTCGTATGACGAAGTCGTACCGTGTCGTACTCATGTAAATAATTATTAATATTTTCATTAAACATAAATGTACTCTTTTAAACTGAATCGCGCGGTAAAAATTCTTTAATTAAATCAGTAAAAGAATCGTTTCACCGATAATCAATGACTATTCACTGATTTTTTCACTAATTTTAGCCAATGGAAGATTTAACTACAAATTCTGCACACTACAAATTCATTATACGCTATGTCAAATCCAACTTCAAGAATATTAAAAAAAATCATATGAGATGACGCTAGAGATATGCTAGATTGACGTGAAAATTTCGAATCCGGATAAGCTATTGATAATGCCGCTACATTTTATCACGAACAGAGTCGCATTCAGTCTGTCATTTTTTATGTACTTGGCCGCTTCGCTTTATTTGATCGCTTAATAGAAAAAGGGAGGGAGGAGCGCACTCGTGTCCAGGATCGATTTGCTCCAGCTGCTATTCAGACATTAACTGACGAATTTTGTCGCTACTGTCTCAAATGCCTTTGTTATAATAACTTTTTTAAATACTTATGAAGCCTTAGAAATTTTGGGATAAAAAGAAAAAAAGCAAAGTTATTAAAAGTGTCAAGATACGAATGATCACCTTGTTCATTTTAAGGATAAAATTAATATATGGACATTATATATAAAGAAAACAGAATTATCGACCACTTAGCTTTGAAAATAT